CCCAAGCAACATTTGATGTGTGCGGTTGCAGAAGTATAATCTGCCCTAAGATCCAAGAATGTGTCTTAAAGGTTTGATCAGGAGTGTACTGTTTTAGATTTATCTCCCAAGAAGTATTGTTAGAAGAAACAAGAAAAGTACAAAACACTATTTACTTTTTGTGTTATTTTTTTGACATTGTACACTGTTCTAACAGCTGTAAACATCAGCCTCCATATGTAATGTGTAGACCACCAGTTCTCAAATGGTCAGGCTTACGAATGTTTTGCCCATCAATGACAAACGGTGACCCAAGTCAAGAACAATTGACAAAATGATATAGTGCTGAAATAATTAGGTGGCTTATTCAACAATTAGTCCAACATAATCAGAGCAATCTTCAGCAATCCATTTTTAAAAGATTCTGAGAATGAAATAACAAAAAGACAAGAATTCAGCTGCTTCATTTAGACCGCCTGGCATCTGCTAAAGTATTTTTTCTCTCTTAATCTCACACAAAATTAATTTACTGAATTTGTAAGATATGATTTCAATAGAAAATATAATATATTGCAAATGATATATCATTTAATGTAGCTGCTTAAAATAGCTGACATATCACACAGATCTTTTAGGGCGAAGAATCAAGCAGTCGGTGGAGGTGGATAAATGGAGGGAACATCAGTAAATTCTTATTATTTGGTCCCCTTGAATCAGTTTCTCTTTTTGGGTCTCAAAAATAAGAAAGGCAGCAATTGTAAAATGCTCATTCAAAAACATATTTTCTGACCAGATTTCTAACTTAATCAAGCCAAAAAATAATGTTTCTCACATCTCCTATTGGCTTTTGGCTTGGCCTTATCTTTAACTCAATCACAATGCTCTCCTTCGTATTTATATATATATTTGATAGATTTTTGAGATGTGTATCACCCATAGTGCCACGAATGATAACTCCTATTTCTTTTGATAATAGATGCAATCTTTAAGGCAAGCAGAGTGAGAAGATATGAGCAACTGACTGCTGCACAGGCTACATCTTTTTTCAGATAGACCACTTAGCTGAGGAATAGCTATGCTTGCGGCCACATCCATCCTTTCGTGCTGTTCTATTTTGAACACTCACATAGGAAATGAGCAGTTTGTCATATTCATACTCATTCTTTCTGAAAACCTTTTCTTCCATTTCATTAGTTACTTCTTCCTTCCCCCTTGTACTTTACGTTGACTGTACTGTACGTTTCATTCATATCTCTACATTGCTCTGATAATTCTTTGTTTTCCAGTAAGCTACCTTTCAGCAATGCATCTTATTGTGTGTGGCAAATGTGGATCAACACTTATCATATATTTTGTGTGATTTGAAAGTGCTGATATCACAAGTCACATGTTTAAGCAAAATAAATATTTTATTGGAATTTATAACAGATATTTCAGAGACAGATGAGAAGGGCATACATTTGTTTTTGCATGACTGAAAATGATCCATTTGTTTCCAGCTGGAACATTCGAGCTGCTGTAAAGGATTTTATATTGTTGGCTTTCACACAGGCAGAGTACATGGGTTATTCAGCATCCCTAACTGCAGGGGTTTTCAATAATTTTTGGGAGGTCTCTGTTATTTTCTGGGTGTTAATTGGAGTTTTGTTTTTTGTTTTTTTATTGTTGTATATCAATTTAAAGATACTGTGTGAAGTTGATAATGGTCAATTATTTCCGGAAGGTGTAATTGAACACAAATAACATCCCAAAGTATAACATCCAATAAATAAAAAAAAAACAAACAAAAAAAACACTTAACTGCTCGGCTACAACCCTATAAGGCAACAGATTAGGCAGCATACATGTATAGGCCTAATGTTTAGAAATTCTCAATGTGAATGTGAATAAACAATGAGACATGCATCTCTAAAAGATAATGAAACATTGTAAAAGTAGCATCAAACACACA